TGTATTTTTGTGAAATACATGTCAATCAGTTATACATATATGCAGTTTAATTTAAATAACGAATTATCGGTGTTTCCAATTCCTTCTTCTGGAAAGAGAGACATCGCTATTAAAATGTGGATAAGAACCTATGGTTTTCTAAATTAGTTTACTATCTGTATGATCTATAAATGAGAAGTTCCTATAAATATTTATATGCGAGACATATTTGCGTTGATGAAGGACCTTAGAAACTGCTCAGGGTTCTTGATGGGTTTGCAAGTTGCTTGCCAAGATCAAAACCTGGGAATTGCTTAGGTGTTTTGGACAAGAATTCCATGCCAAACAATTACCAATAGTAGTTGGCAAAATGAAGAGACATGAACAAATTAAAGCAACTACAATATTGTTTGAAGCGGTGTTTTGATTTAGTGTTCCATTTGCACAAAATGAATATAATTAATGTTGTCATCTAAATGATGCTATTACAAGAAGATAATATTGTCTATCAGAGATTTGTGTTACACTAAAAAGAAACAATTTCAGGCTGTTAATTGGTACTAGCAAAGAAGGCAATTAATTACTATTATGACAAGCATCATACAGAATCTTGCGCGCAGTGACCGTGTTAGCCATGGATGAAGCCAATTGCCAATTCATTTGAAAAGAATAAGACACTGAGAGTGTGGGGGTCTTCTACATGTCTTTTGTACATTTGCAGAAGACGCGACGTTGCTTATTTGGTAAGCAAGGACTACCAATGAGTTTGTTATATCATGGTTGTTCATGGTGAGAACACATTTGTGATAACAATACACAATACCATATTCAAATCATGGAGCTTGAACTCATTATGGATGAGTTATTTTCGTCTTATTAAAATGACGACTGAATTAATAAATAGAGGAGGCTAAGGTCCAAAGAAGTGCTTTAACAACCTTAAAGCAATCACAATTATGAGAGAATTGTGGGGTTGCTTAAATATCATTAAGATATAATGATATTTACTTAATAAGAAAGAATAAAAGAATTTGCCACCTAAACATGATAATATACAATTTTAAGGTGCTGAAAGCTTTAGAGATCTTTCTTTAAATACCTTAAATATGGGGGAAGTCTACTTCCTAGTGTTAGTAAATTACTTACAAAAGCCCCAACATATATATACTTTTGAGGACTTGAAATTGAGAAACAACTTCTCTCATATGAAGTATAATTTCATTAGATAGATTGTGCACGCCAATAAGAAAAATGGAGTTTTAACCAAAAACTTCCGGTACTATTCACTTTTAACAAAAATGACATTTTTACTCTAAAAAGTCAATCCTAGTACTATTCACTTACAACACATTTTTATCATTTTGATTAAAACTCAAAGTTTTCAAACCTTTTTCATTAGTTTTCCTTTAAAAATAGTCAATCTAGTAGTGGATCCAATTATTAAAGGTTAGACTAGAGAGTAAGTTGATCATCCAGGGGAATGAGGCTAAAGCCAACATAACTAATGAATCAGCCGAGCGGAAACCTAACTTAGTTTATTGGAGATCTCATGGTCTAAGTTCAATAGGCAAACTGGTTGGGCATGGTTCAAAGAAGTTAACACACTATATACCTCATTCGTATAATGGAAGAAGTGTGTTGTCTGCAGAAGTTTAAAGGTTTTAAATTTATACTTAATGACAGTGATATCTTATAAATAAGAGGAATATAGCAAACTATTCTTAATCAGTGGTCACCTATGTGAGAGTAGAAGTGGGTCGCTTCTATGAGAATGAGATGGCTAAATTCTCTAAAGCTCTCATGAATCCAAGATTTGTTTAGGACCAAAATGAACACAACCGTATGAACCGTAATATATTAGGATTAGTGATGTGTGTTGCCCATTGTCTTAATTTACTGCTACGGTGAAAAGTTCAAGATTTTCCACATCCACTACGTCACCAAGTAAACCTGATAAGAATTCACTAGGGTAGGTTCAAGTTCAAAAGACACATATCCCGATGCATCTCTTGTCCACCTGTACTCTCAAATTCTTCCTTATTTTTCATTCATGTGGGAGGTAGTTGGACATTATATATTATAATATAAAATATTGTAATATATAATTTTAATAATTGAATGAAAAATAGTATTAACCATATTTCTTAGAAAAGTTATGGTATTTAGGTGCATTCCCTTGTCAAATGATGTATACTTATAGATGAAAAGTTACATCTATTTAACAAGAAGTACTTAGGTGCTATATAAACTCATGAAACCATCATCATTAAGATAGAAAATTAGAGTTAATTTTTACTCTTGAGAAATAGGGTTTCCCCACTTTGTTTCTCTCATGTTTTGAGTGTCAAATTCCAAATCGTGTCTTGAGACTACGGAATATATAAAGTTCGCCAGAGTTTGAAGATTGAAGTCCTTTGACTTCATATTATAGATTGTTGAATCCTGGGAAATAGACGCCTACCGAACTACAAACATAAGAGTAGGGGCAAAATTCTATCTTTAGGACATTGCATTTCTGCAAGCATCAATCTCTAAGTTTGTCAGTTTTTCTAACTTTATCTCTAGTAGTTTATATTAATCTTGTAGACTATTTATGTTGTGATTTTCTTTATGATTATTATCATTAGAATTCTTGTGTTATTTTCATATTTTCTAATAATGCTCCAACAGACTTGCGATTCAGTTGCATTGCTTGCCATTTCCCTCCCATGAATCTCCCTTTGACCTAACCCTTCGACTTGAAACATGAAAACATCAGTAGGCTGACAATTGTAGAGAATATGATCGAATGCTAATGTTGAATTGTTGTTTTTGTTTCATTTTTTCAGGCCTCATACGACAACCGAACTATAGAAGAGAATCTCGATGATGTTGGATTTACATCTCCCTCCCTCTGTTTTTTTCGTTTTCTTTCTCTCCCAAGCTTGTTATTCTTTGATCATTTTTGTTCCAGTTTATCTGAGGAATAGACACCAAGAATTTAAGTTAGGGATCAATAATGAGAAAATGGTGGAGACACAAAGGTCTAAGTGATATTGCAACTTCTTATTTGACGTGAATAAATAAGATTCAGAAAGTGCCCAAATATGAATAAATGAAAAACTATTATATCATTATCCAAAAAAAAAAAACGATTATATCAGTTTGAATCTCTTTTTTGAGTACTATCGTTTGGAGAAGGGGATTTCTTCAACTAGATGGGGAAGTTGAGCATCACACGACTTGGGCACTATATCAATATGAATCTTATAAATTGGGATAAGAAGTTTGGCACTGGTACTAGTATTTAAAGAGGAAAAGAAAGATGATGCATTGTGAATGTCATAAGCTTATAACCACCATTAAGACAAAAAATTGTGGACTAGAAGCCACAAGGCATCAAGAACTCACAAGCTATACACAGTGGGGAGTTTATTGTGCGAGGAAATTCGATAAAAATAAGAGTTCACATGTTTCGGGCTAAACTATCGCCTAGCTTACAACTCGGCCAACTCTTGAGCAACCGGACATGAAACCTTTGTCAATTCAACTTGGGACGTCAGGTTTTAACTGTCACAGTATTGAATGGTGTTTGGGACATTAGCTATGAAGTACGTATTGAATGGTGTTTGGGACATCAGCTATGAAGTACGTAGTCGCGTTAACAAGTCACAACGTGACATGGACTACCTAGCCACTCCATCAGGGCCCGTCTGAGACCGGCCGAGACACTTCCTATTTCAGTTGAAATGGAACTTGACATGTTTTGGTATGGACATTGTGCGCATTTGGCATATTTGCGGTGCTATCATGACATGTCATAAGAATGTTTGAACGCATTGTGACATGTCATTGACGAGGTGCATAGGCAGTCTTATATAGCCTCGCCTATTGTCGACATAAAGCAAAGCTTGGATGCTTTTTGACATGTCATAACGCAACTCATCAGCCGTACTAATATGGTTTGATGTCAACAGTAGGCGAGGCTCTAGTGGTGACAACCTACCCCACGGATACCTTAGGGCAGCGGCAGAAGCATCAACGATAATCAACTCTTCACATTGCAAACAAAGAAGGATATTGGAGGAGGGGAACAATTTCCTCTAATTTTCTCTTTCTTGTTTGAAAAATAATTGTTCTCTAAGTTTGTTTAATCATATATTTAAGTTAGAGTTAAATAATTTTGAAAGGCAGTTGGACTCTATCTCCCAAAAGAATTTCACTACAAATCAAAGCGTAGAATCTAATACAGTCAAGGAAATAACTTTTGGCTACACCACTAACTTAGGATTCTTATATTTCATGCACCTTATAAGCGTGGTACAAGTGTTGAGCATTTGTGGAACAAAAAATAATTCTAAAAATGCTAACATGTACATTTTTGTTTGCAATTGACAAGAGTGCCCTTATTCAATTGGTGAGGCCCGCATTCCCCGTACATGTGTCAACCATCAAGAAAACTTGAGTTGCTGACTACACCTTCTTCAAGTTTTTTTGCTCAAGGCAAGGAGACAAGGCAATGAAATTAAATGTACAATTACTAACTAATTTCTATCTTTAAACTTTTCTATTATTTGAAATCTCATTCCTTTAAACAAAAAAAAAACCCTAATGAGATGCTACCAAAAGCCTAATAAGGATAATGCTAGAGAGACTAATAATATCATACCAAATATTTTCCAAAATAATTCTTAAAAATCATGTCACTTAGTAATACGGTCGAGTGATATTCCTATTCACTTATAAATGAGAGGTCTTAGGTTCGATTCTCGTCAAATGCGAGTTTGAACCATATCATTATTAGCTCATTGTGAGGCCAAACCTACCCCATCTTCTAGTGAAGATAATATCATTTGTTAAAAAAACAAAAAAATCTTAAAATATTATAATATTAATTTTGATACCAACAAGGATTCTCCATGATAATTCTATGAAGGATTGTCCAAGATAAATTAAGACGAAAGTGATATTTTTACACCTATTTTTTTTTTTTACATGCCTTTGTTAATTTTTTTGTTATTAAATTTCTTTAATTTGTTGACAGACAAAATTGAAAGGGGGTGTGAGAAAGTGAAAATGGGTGTGGATATGACCTATCCAAGATAGTCCGTTTCTGGGGAATTCGAGGATTATTTTGGGCTCCCTGGCCTACGCACCACTGTCCAGACCTCTCTTCCTCTGTCCCTCCAGTTCTCGACAGCTCCGTGAAGACCAAGGCTAACCCTAAGCCGAGGGAGGACGACGTCGAGCTCGAATAAGGAGAGATGGTCGCCGATCTACACCTTCCCTACCCGCGAGGAGTTCTGGAGGTTAATTCCCTTTCGTTTCCTCTATTTTTTTGGGTTTAATTTTGTTTGGTTGGTAGGAGAACTAAGAAAAGATGGAATTTTTTGCGTTTGTTATGTGCTTGCTGTAGTTTGTGATAAAACAAATTTGGCAATTTTTGGTAAAGGAAATAGATTTTGGTTTCGTACCAATTGCAAATTGGAAACTAGGGATTTTCGTTAAAGTTCGATATTTTGGTCTCTATTTCTACATACATGTGTTAATTTAACACCCAACATTGAATACTTGCTAGAAGGGGTTTCCTTAGATCTTTGGGATGCTTTGATATGTATCAGTGTGGATGTTTGCGGTCCAAGTAATGTTATTTAAGCAAGCATGGTAGTATTTCTGTTATGGAATTTGGCTGTCAATGAATAGAATTGGTTGGTGGGTATTGGTATGAGTACGTTTGCTTCACCTCTCTCTCTCTAGAATTTCTGTATCCTTTGGTTAATTTATTGGAAGATGTTAGAACACATCGAATTGCAGGAAATTTCAAAAAGTCTTATTATTTTTCTTAATTTATTTTCAATCTTCAAAAATTAAATTTGTTGGTCCTAATTTGTTAATGTATTCCCACTATTTGATGGGAATTGTTATTAGCACTCCAAAAATCTCATTTTGCACTCCAAATTTTCTATACTTAAAAAGAATAAAGACACTTATAGGAGTGTAGAATGAGATTTTTGGAGTGCTAATAGCAATTCCCTATTTGATTAGTTAAATGATGTTTGATTTCACTAACTTTAGATTTCAAATGATCCAGGTGACTTGATTTTTCAATCGGATTCCCAAAAACATGGCCATAAAATTGCAAAAATGTGGGGAAAGATTAGGTTTTGGGTTGATGAAATTGACCCGGAATTACTGTTCAACAGAACCCATGAGGCAATTTTCCGACCCAACAAAAAGAATTTGCAAAATCATGATGTCCTGCCCAACACTTGCTCTTGATACCGCCCTTGACCAAACCGGGATTCGAATTTCACCCAAAATGGTAGAGGAAGTTCTCATGAGATTCAACAATGCCGGTATGGTTGCATACCGGTTCTTTGAGTGGGCGGCAAAGCAGCGAAATTATTCACATAGTGTTAAGGCCTACCATGCTATGATTGAATCTTTGGCCAAGATCAGGCAGTACCAGATCATGTGGGATCTTGTGAACTCGATGAGGGCGAAGAGGATTCAGAATATGGAGACGTTTGGAATCATTATGAGGAAGTATGCCAGGGCACAGAAGGTTGAGGAAGCGCTTTATACATTTAATGTTATGGAGAAGTATGATTGTGCTCCGAATTTAGCAGCGTTCAATGGCCTGCTGAGTGCTCTGTGTAAGTCCAAGAATGTTAGGAAGGCTCAGGAGGTTTTTGATAAAATGAAGGATCGGTTTGAGCCAGACTCAAAGACCTATAGTATATTGATCGGCGGATGGGGGAAGGATCCGAATTTGCCTAAAGCGAGGGAGGTGTTCAGAGAAATGATTGATGCGGGTTGCAATCCTGATATAGTGACTTATGGTATCATGGTTGATGTTCTTTGCAAGGCAGGGAGGGTGGATGAAGCTATTGATATAGTTCGGGGCATGGATGATGGTGGTTGTACACCGACGTCTTTTATTTATAGTGTTTTGGTGCATACGTATGGGGTTGAAAACAGGATTGAAGATGCTGTTGCTGCATTCTTGGAGATGGAAAGGAATGGAATAAGGGCTGATGTGGTTGTGTACAATGCCTTGATCGGCGCTTTTTGTAAGGCTAACAAGTTCAAGAACGTCTATAGGGTCTTAAACGATATGAATTCCAAAGGTGTTACTCCCAATTCGAGGACTTGCAATATCATTTTAAATAGTTTGATTGACCGTGAAGAAACTGAGGAGGCATTTAGTGTCTTCCGCAAAATGATCAAAGTATGTGAGCCAGATGCAGATACGTATACAATGATGATAAAGATGTTTTGTGAGAGAGATGAGTTGAAGATGGCTCATAAAGTCTGGAAGTACATGAAGTTGAAGCAGTTTGTCCCAAGCATGCACACATATTCAGTCCTTATAAATGGATTTTGTGAGAAGGGAAACGCTTCAAAGGCTTGTGTCTTACTGGAAGAGATGATAGAGAAGGGGATTCGGCCAGCAGGTGTGACTTTTGGGAGATTAAGGCAGTTGCTGATAAAAGAAGGAAGAGAAGATGTACTCAAATTTTTAAACGAAAAAGTTAATCTTCTTGTCAAGGAGCCTTTATTCGATTGAAGACTCAACACCATCAACTAAGAAAACTTGGACTGTTTGGTATTCTTAGTCCAACAGAATGAGTCCTGGAGTACAAGTCCTATTGTTACTGCAGAAAGAAAAATCAACTTTTGCAGGTGAGGTTCTTTCTCTTTTCCTTTTACACCAAAGTGTTGGTGAATTTTCATGTTGCAAATGTTTGTTGTTTGTTGTTGAGAAACTATGGTCTTAGGTTTTCACGCAATTTCACAATTGTAAGATAATTAAAACATCATTACAGACAACACATGCTTGTCTGGAAAATTTTATTTGACAACATGCAAACAGTAAAACTACAAGAATTTGTACCTTCCACACACCTTATGTTAATTTCTGTCATTTGATCTTCTACAATTCATTTGTTTTGATGGCCAGAAATTGAGAGGGGTGTGTTAGAGGTAAAAAGGGGTGTGTGGATGGCACCACCCTTTATATATATGGAACACTAGCTTATGTAATTCGTGAATAAACAGTGATGCACTGAAAACAGATGATTTCAAGCTCGATTGTTTGTTTCTAAACGAGTCAGATAAAATACTAACCATATTCTCGATAAGTCTGTATTCAGTTTCTGTGGATTGTAATTGGGAGCCTTTTCAATCATTTTTGCTGTACTAGTCATCAAATACTAACCATATTCTCGATAAGCCTATGTTCAGTCTCTGGATTGTAATTAGGAGCCTTTTCTATCATTTTTGCTGGACTAGTTGCCGACATCATCAACACAACCATCCTCTCTCTCTCTCTCTCTCTCTCTCTCTCTCTCTCTCTCTCTCTAGTTATTTCTATAGATATCTTTTCTCGGAGAAATTTTTATTGAATTTTTAGTTGTTTTTGTTCGATAGTGATTGCTAATAATGTATTTTTTTTCTGTTGTATTGTTTTCAATTTATCTTTCTCTCACACGCACATATACGTGCATATATATGATGTGTATGCATTTACTTATTACATTCACCATCTAATGTTCAGATATGCAACCAAATAGAATTTGACCCTAAATGTGATTCAAATTTGCGCAATCAGTTCGAGCCTTGCATATTCATTTGGGTCTCAGCTTTCGTTACATTCATTGTTATGCTATTTTTTTTCGACTGATTGGCTATCCTACTTTATTTCTTAAATGTTTTTTCATGAACACCTCTATTTTTCTTTACTGGGTGTTTGGCATTTGATGTCAAATTGGTCTGATGATGGTATGTTATGTATTTGTGGCCAGTTGTTTAGAGTGCCATAGTTCTGAGTGTAATATTTTTTTTCATTTGCAGTGGATGTGTGGTGTTCATTGCTACGTGGTTGTGGGGAGTAATGATTTAAGCACCGGGCTCTGAGATGTTGATGGAAATGCATTCTTGAAGCTATATATTACCACAGCTGTAATCCTAGATTTCGTACAATTATATTGTGCTTCAGGTACATTTCATGTTTTTATTATCTTTATTCATTGAAATAATCTTCATCATAATGCAAATGTGTAGTCAAGTTATTTTTCAAGATGTGAGCATCTGAGACTTTGAATTAGCGATGGTGTGCTAAGGATGAGATCTGCTCTGTCTTTTGTGTGTGCTTCTTTCTTAGATTTTTCTTTTTCTGGGATTTACCATGTTTTCTAATCTAGCTTATTTGCCTAATGATGGAAAACTCAATTTTGTAGTGGTTCAGTGGATTATTGTTAGATGTTTTACGCATATAATGATACAATCCATTGCTCTCTAAGGTGCCCTTGCAATGCTAATTCAATAATCATTGTGAGACCTCAGTCAACTGAAAATAGTTACGTTGTCAGTGATGTGGTTATCTTTACAATGACAATCTCAGAGTATTTGCGGGTTTGTTTTTCTTTTCACTTGGTTTGTGCAACAAGTGGGAAATTATTTAGTGGTTCTTCTTGCATATATGCCGTAGTACAGCCTTTCGCATTTTGCCCAATGATTCAGAATCATGTTCTTGGGCGTTCTTTTGATTTTCATTATGAGCATCTTCACTTCCTATAATTCTACCGTTAAGAGTAGCCATCTGCTCTTTATGGTGGTGGTATTTGTTGTTGTTGCTGCTGCTGTCATTCAGGATGTGCCTGTAAATGAAAATGAAAGCTCAGCATTCTTGAATTTGGATTCAGGATATAATAAGATCTGAGGACTATTTTTTGTTTACTTTTACTACCCAAGCGGTGTTGTGTAAATGACTGTTTATTAGTTTTCATGCTTGAGGTATGTTGTCAAATGGTGCATCTCTTTCTTATCAGTATTGTATATATAAACAAATATTTTGTCTCCCTTAATTTTCCTTCGGCCATAATATTGATAGGCGCACAAGGGAAAGGTTGCTCCTTTGTGACCAATGGTCATGGGTCATGGAAACAGCCTCTTTGCAAACTAAGGGTAATCCTGCGTACAACAGATGTTCTCGCAAAGTGGGAAGCCTTGTTTGCTTGGGTATGATTTGTGAGAGTAATCAGTATTTTTTTCGAGATAGAATGTAATCAGTAATGTTGTGCTTTATCTCATTGTTTGCTTCTTTTGTACAATACGATGATTTCTCTACCTGCTACGGGTGTCGTTGTGGTCTGAGGGCTCAAAACATCATTTTTGTTTTGTACTGGTTGACTTTATCGTTTGAGTGATTGCCTCGTTCGTTTGTTGTTTTGAGACGAAAAGTAAAGAAGCTCACCTGCAAAAGTTGATTTTTCTTTCTCTAATTAGCAAGCAGTACCAATGGCACTAGAACTCCACAAACTGCTTCAACTTCATCCACTTCCAGACTTAAAGTGTTATCTTCAGCTCCTCTCTCACACAAAACATCTTTATCATCGTTGTATGCATATCTGCAGCTGGGTCACATACTTTGACGATTTTAAGAAAGACACAAAATGCCTCCTCGGTTTCTTATAGTACTCGTTGATACGAATACATGGTGCAAGCGGAACAAAATTTGGAGTTCAAATGAAATTCCTAGGGAAATTTAAAGACTTTAGGTTCTAAGACCTACTCCAAACCTAAGACTCAAATTTTAGGTTTTAAGCTTTCTCAAACTTACTCCAACCCTTAGGCCAAATATGAGTTTTAACTTATAACTCATTTTCACAAATTCAACTCATCTAATGGACTGGTTCATCATATATATGTATTTTTTTTATATATTTATAAATTCACATCTTTAAATCCTTACCTTTTTGCATTGGTAATGGACGAGTTAACGGGACATGTTCAAGATGATATTCCTTAGTGCATGCTTTTCGCAAACGATATAGTGTTGATAGATGAAACTTAGGAATGAGTAAATGCGAAGCTTAATCTTTGAAGAGAAGTCTTGGAATCTAAAGGTCTTTGCCTAAGTCGGTCAAAGACAAATCTTCGCCTAAGTCGGTCAAAGACAGAGTATACAGAGTGCAAGTTCAGTGCAAACAGAGGCTCAAATGAGTTAGGGGTGAGGATTGAAGATCAGGAAGTACCAAAGAGCGAACGCTTTCACTACCTAAGATCTATCTTGCAAAAGAACGGAGAATTAGATAGAAACCTCAATCATAGAATACAAGCTAGATGGATGAAGTGGGAGAGTGTATCTGGCGTGTTGTGTGACCATCATATGCCACTGAAGCTCAAGGTAAAATTTTATAGGATGGCAATAAGGCCAGCAATGCTTTATGGCACGAGATATTGAGCGGTGAAGTATCAACACGTACATAAAATGGGTGTAACGAAGATGACAATGCTTCGTTGGATGCGTGGGCACACGAGAAATGATAAGATTAGGAATGAGGATATTTGAGGTAAAGTAGCAGTAGTCGAAATTAAAGGAAAGATGAGAGAAAATCACTTATGATGGTTTAGACATGTGAAACGAAGGCCTATTGACGCTCTGGTTAGAAGATGCAATTATGGGATAGAGGTTCAAAGCCGAAGAGGTAGATGAAGACCTAGGAAGACTTTGGAGGGGACTCTAAGAAAAGATTTAGAGTACTTGGATCTAACGGAAGACGTGACATAGAACCGAGCACAATGGCGTTCTAGGATTCATATAGCCAACTCCACTCTGTGGGAAAAAGGCTTTGTTGTTGTTGTATTGAATCTAACGGTTAAGATCTAAGATAATCAAATCTAACTATCCAAATTTAAAGATAACGGCTAAAATCTCTACTAATTGATGAAACCCTCTTTGTCAACCAAAAGAGGGTAAAAAGACAATTTAGTCTTCTATCACACAAAAAAAATGATGGGCAATAATGTAATTTCATAGGTCTAATTTTTACTTTTTTTTTATTGAAGCTTCACCTACAGGTGATGTTCAAATACCTCTAATATTAAAAAAATAAAAATAAAAAATAAAAAAACCAAAAACCAAAAACAAAAACCTTCCACACGTTCTCTCTCTCACTCTCTCCTTCTCATTTTCTAAAAAAATGTGTTTATACATACAAAATGTGTAGGCAAATGCTAGTAATTATAAAAAAAATTCATGTCTTTCATATTCTTTCGTAGTGTTCAGCGAGTTTTATGGTGTCGATTTAATGATTTTTCAATATTTCTGCCAAGGGCAAAGGGTCGCGGTTGGGTCTAGAGAGAGTGTGACAATCAATTACACTGAATCATTCATCAAAATCTAAATATTTTTAGGTTAAAATTAAATTATGATAGTTTACATAATTTATTTATACAAAAAAAAAAAACTGTTACTTTAAAAATTAATTTTAAATTCATTCTTTAAAAATTTTGGGTTAAGAAATTAACTTAGAATGTTGAAGCAAAAATATTTCTAAGTTAAAAATTTTAGGTTTTGAATTTCTAGGTAAAAATTAAAATTTTAGGTTTTGATCCAACTTTGTGTAAGGGCATCTCATATTTCACAATTTTGGGAGATTATATTGGATTATTATGGGTTCGCTGGGACCCGCAAGGATTTTTATCTTCTCTGCATTCAGTCTCCCTCGACACGGCCCTCTCCGGAACTCCCTCACTCTCTCCCGCCCGTTATCGACAGCACTGTGAAGAACGAGGCGAACCCTGCGCCGAGGGAAGACGACGACGAGCTCGAAGAAGGAGTGATCGTCGATGACCAAGATTCCGTGTTGGCGAAGCCGCCAAAAGGAGTAGCGCTGCAGTCGCATTCCTGGACCTTCTGGTTCGATTACCCGGCCACCAAGTTCAAGCAGGAGGATTTTGTGAACTTTTGAATAACCCTCCAAGTCCAAGTCCAAATGGGCACGGTTTCAATTTCCGCATTGTCGGGTCTAAATTCAATTTCCATCTCCAGAGATTACAACCCGTTTGCAATTTTTAATAAAGCCGGTGTCTTGACAGCGTGTAGTACAAGGAGTGGAAGCTTTAGGTTCCATGGCGCTCAGAGGCACTCGAAGCTGAGGACTTTTTTGGTCGGGTCGTTGGGCCCGAATGCTTCGTTTCGGACCCAGGTGGGAACTTGGGAAGCACCCGACGATGGCAGCGGCAGCGAAGACGAGGAGGATGAAGAAGAAGAAGAAGAATTGGGTTTCCAAAGTGAATGGGAGGAAGAAGAGGGAAAAGGTGTTCCAGCTACTGCTACTGATGCTGCTGCTGTTGCTGTTGATAAGTCCACAACAAACAAGTATGAAGAGGATCTTGTAAAAGGTTATGCTCTGGTGCCCCTAATTCTCTATGTTCATATTTATTTGTTCACTTCAATGGATGTTCTAAAAGTTTAAAACAAGCACTTTTGCTTCATAAGCGCTGTTATTAGAAACACATTTGGAAGTGCTTTGCACTTCTATGACCCTCGACGCATCGTCAAGAGCACTTTTGGTTGTCATCAAGTGCTTTTAGGTCATCTAGAATCAATCCCAAACGGCAAGCAGGCCCTTAATGGGGAATGTTCTATTTGTAGAGAGTGACATGGTGTGTTCCAATTGATATTTTGACAAAAATGGCAGGCCCAACTGTCTCGCAAGAGAACGTTTAACTTCTAACATGTTAGCTTGCAATATTTGCAAACCTGTTGCTTTATTAAAGATTACTCAACTCTTCTGGCTGTTATAATTTCCCGGCCATGTAGATCTTCAAAGACCAGTTTAGCTGTTTTCTTCTTCAATGTAATGTAATACCACTTTTTGGGATCTTATTTCCTGGTAAACATCTAATATCTGTTATTCGTGTTGCAGAAGTTGAACAGCTCTTGGGGCAAGAAGAAATAGCAATTTTGCAAAAGCATGCAGCTCCCAACATCAGGAAAATATCAACGGTAATTCTTTCTTCTAATGTAAAAATGTCCTGAAGTTAGTTTATAGAAGTCTGGTCCTGCTATTACCTATCTCCTATAGTACAATTTACCACTAAAATCTAGATGGAGTAACTGAACTATTTCTTAGTCTCTATAGCATTACGAGCTCACAACTGTAAATAGGAAGTCGTATTTGCAATAAGAGACTGGCCTGTCTTTCTACATTCATTTATTGTGTTTCGTACTTTCATTACTCAGGAAAAATGGAACCCGATACATACTCTTGCACTGTCAGGGATGGTCACTTTCATGGACAAGCTACTAGAAGATGGTTTAGATATTGACATTGTTGATAAGGTGAGTTTTATCTCTAATTGAATCACCATATCTGTCTCCAATTTGGTAGCATTGTACCCGGATTAGTAAACCTCCAATAATTTGGTGAAACAGGATGGTACAACTGCTCTTCATACTGCAATCATAGCCAAAAAGGAAGCTGTAATTAGTCATCTGCTAAGAAAAGGTGCAAGTCCTCATGTCAGAGACAGGGTAAGGATAAGATTTTCTTTAATATCTCTCCCGATCCATTTTTCTTTATGGGAACAATGAGTTTTTGTGTTTATCATCTATAGGATGGTGCTACGCCGCTTCATTATGCGGTACATGTAGGCACCAAGCGGATTGTCAAGTTATTGATCAAATATAAAGTTGATGTCAATATTGCAGATAATGTGAGTTTTGTTTTTTTATTGTTTAAATTTCCCAATGCCTATACCCAGTTAATCCTTTTTATTTTCGTTTCTCAGCTTGTTAACGACATCATATAATGTATTTCAGGATGGATGGACTCCATTGCATGTTGCTGTTCAAAGTAGAAACAGAGACATTGTGAAAATTTTGTTAGTCAATGGTGCAGATAAGAGCAGAAGAAATAAGGTAACGTTTACTATATACAAAGCAGGGACCTATAGTAGAGACAAAGCAAGGATTTTTTACTTTCTGTTGTTTCTGTTAAAGTGATTAACGCTGCTCCGTGTGTTTCAGGATGGCAGAACTCCGCTAGATCTGGGTTTATGTTATGGGAAAGATTTCAAGTCCTATGACCTCACCAAGCTACTGAAGACGGTGCCAATGGAGTTTTAGAAGTCTATGTTCCGACTTCATCTCCTTGCATGGATGGAATATTTAAGGACGGAGACGGGGAGTATCTGAAGAAGCAAATTAGTTGGATGAAGGATAAACAGAGGCATGTATGTATTTCACTGTAGGGTGTAGAGGTAATGGATGCATCCTGGATGAGCTGTTTTGCATCCCATGATTTCAAGGTTGGTCTGTTGTATAAGGGTACAGGAGCCGTTGGATAGATGACTTCCTGGATTTTGTTAGGGGAAAGGTTCTTAAATTTATTTTCTTAAGTTTGTTGGTAAATCAAAATATGAGTGTAAGTGAGGAGGATGGACATGGAACGAGTTGACTGTCATTGTAGTGTCTCGGTCTATTAATACTAGGCTATGAGTAAATATTTCGTCATACAACATTGTATTATTGGACCGAGACATCACTTAAAAGATGAACCTGTTTTATGCAAGTTGTTTTTGTGAACGAGCCGGTCAAGTTGAACGCTAAGGTGCACATGCTTGCTTAGAGATTATTATTCAAACTTAAACTCAACCAAAGCTAACCGTCGATAATTTATAATACCTGCTAAACTAATAACCTCGGCTAAATAATATTTTTTTGTCAGTCCAACTTGGAAATAACGTGCCAATTAACACATCGTTAAATTTTGAAGTTAATACATTATAAAAAAAAAATTATATAAGTCTCACGTAATACATAAATTAATAATTTTCTGATATATAGTGATTATGATTCGATTACGAAGCTTCCTAAAATATGACTCAAACATTAGTTACTCCTTGAAATCAATGTCACTTTGGATGGTATCTAACTTTTCTTTAACATGATAAGAAGTTATGGTGTAGCTGCAACAAAAAAATACTAAATGTCGTCACCTTGAGAGCTTCTTTTCGTGAAACGGACTCCATGAATTTTTTTTTTTTGTTTAAATAGAGTTTTTGCGGTTCGAGCTCATACCCCGCGTTTAAATTGAATTTTTTTTTTGTTTAAAATAGCAAAGCAACTTTACAAGTAGTACGTGTTGAAGAGGAATGTAGAATATAGCAAAATGGCACGTGCGCAATCCCAAACGACATCGAAGTACAAGTCGTTTATGGTCCGGTTCATACCCCTCGTTTCAAAGGTGGAGAAGCGGAGAACGAAGACACGCACTACACACTCACTGCATCTAAAAGACATTACGCACTAATCAGGTAGAGGTTGAGGTCTAGTGTTCAAACGAATTTAATTCAATTTCTTATATAAACATATAAATAAGGATTTACTTACACTTTAAAAAATAACTACACTTGAATTGAGAATTTGGGAAAGCTAAAACTTAAAACTTAAGCCATCATGGCGTTGCCATCATCACAGACTAATGTAGCAATGATAAATTAAAAAAATAAAAAAAAAAAAAAAAAAACAACAACAACAACAGAATCAAATTCGAAAATTCACTAACTCATAATCTCGATTATTTTTTAGTGAAGTTACCTATAAAACCCTTTAACTTAATTTAAAAAAAAAATTAAACAAAAAAAATATAGGTACAAATTAAATAAAAAATGGGTACATATTAAAATTCAAAATTATGGTTACAAATTAAAACTAAAAAGAATATTGGTGCAAATTACAAAAAGGGTACAAATTAGAAATAGATTAATAAATTTTTCATTTTTAAAATTGACAAATGAAGACTTGTAAATAATTTTAATATTCAAATAATGACATGAAAATTAGTCAAAGGACCTTGATTAAAAATGAAAAAAGAAATAAGGTTTCAATTAATGAGAATGAAAAATGAGGGATGAGAATCTAATTTATCCTTAAAAAAAAAATTAAACAATGAAACCGCATAGCCACCCGTCTAGCCAATGCCCGGTTTTAGAACAGTGATCTACTGCACTGAACTCACAGTGCCTGAAGCTGTCCCGCCAAAACAATGATGTTGACACACAATACATTCTTTTGTTATTTATGTTTTTACGTCTTTATATAAAGATTAAATAATAATTTGATATGAAATTCATCATTCATGTGAATCGATTAAATTGTGAGTGAGTGAAAAAAAAGTATTATTAAACCGTAATACTTTTTTTTTGAAAGGAAGACAATATCATTAACTTGGGAAAATAGACATTACACTTTGAAATAAAGCCACCCCGCTTAACGTTGAGACCCTCCCTCGTCCCCAATTTCTGTAGCCGTCAACAGAATTCGCGCCATCTTATTAAATTCCGAAAAACCCTAAACCCAAAGTCCAAAACCCTATCTTCTCAATTTGATCGAGGAAAGATGCTAGAGGCGAAAAGTCTGAGCAAGGCAGTAGTGCCGTCCTCTCTCATAGAGAATCCTTCTCCTGGTAGCCTCCAGTCCACTCGCCTCGCTCTCCATGTGCGTACTCTCCCAAACCCTAACCCTAACCCTAACTCTTTCCGATGTCCTCTCATTTTCTCTCCCTTTGTATTTATTTATTTATTTATTATAATTGTTCTAATTTCTGTCAGGTTGCCGAGGACTGCTCCTCGTGTTGGGTCTACATCGCCTCCGGCTGCCAAATTTATAAGCTTCAGGTATTATATCTCACAAGCCATAATTTGACTATTTTTTAACCTTCTAGTTTCTAGTATCTTTGAAAGTTTGGTAAATGTATGCCAATTTGCGGGACTGTGATTTCGGTACTTTGATTGTTTCTAGATACTAAATCTGAAAGGCATGCCCAAAGTTAGATATGTAAATTTGTAAAATTTCGAAGAACCATGAGTGTGATATCCCAGTTCAACTGCGAAATGTTTGTTTGAGATCAGTCGGGGTTGGAACTTGCCATGGTAGAGAAACAAAATTGCTGATAAAAACACTAACAAATATTAATACAACGTGTTCCGAATTTTAGGTATGACATAATTTGATCATATGTTACTAGTCAAAGTGTATGGTGGTTAAGCTAGAAGCTTTCTTAATATTCTTCTTTTTGTTTCATTTAAGATTTCATTGGAAGAGTCTCTGGTCGGTGAAGGGAAAGAAGGCCTTCTGATTCCTGTACTCAGGGAGGTATGCAATTTCATGAATTGAAGCATGGCTATTCAGTAATCAGTATATTCTGTGTTAGTTATGTAATAATTCCTCTGATCCTTGAAGGTTATGGATTCCTTTATGGTTAACCGCTGCCCTCATCGTTCAGAAATTCAGAGTATGGTACTTGCTGAAACAGAGAGTAAGTGATTGTTGCACTGAGGTATATTTTTTTTCTTGCTAGGTTAGGCTCACGTTCTGTATTGATTGTCCATACCATCATTGTTAGATTTTGGATAAGCGGGGGAAAATAGAGGGTGCATAATGCTGTTGCTTATACCTCTTCTTTGACCTCCATTTTTTAAGGGTATTGTATACTTTTTGTTGTTCCAATTGAAGAGTAGGAGTAACATTTTGTTTTATTATTTTAGGATTTAGACCCTTTTCATGAAAAAGCAGGAATGATGTGTACCTTTTTCTAAAATTGAATATCAAACTTAGATCAGGAGTTAGCTTCAGATTAGGAAAATGCTAGGGAGACCACCTTTTTATACCACATTTGGGTACCATCTGTTGTGGCAAATTATGTGTGCATGTCACGTCAATTAATGAACTTATCTTATTGGATGTTGGTTGTATGCATCACTTGCCACATGAGATGGTGCACTAATGTGGTGTAAATGTGCTGTCTCTTGCATTATTCTTCAGATAATGTATTCTAGAAAATGTGCAAATATCATTTCAGAATATGGGTTTTGGAAATTTCCCTAATTTCTTATCATTTGTTATCTTGTCAAAATGCAGGCAATGAATATTCAATGTTGGGAACTGTGGATTCTTATGGTCACCTTATTGTATCAAAACTAGATACTACTGGTGAAGGTACAATTTCTCATTTAGTTTTGATTTGTGGTTCTACCCTTGTTGTGGGGATTTGGGAATATATGCTTTTAAAGAGAGAAAAGTGAAGTTGATGGCCTTCCTGGGAGATGATTTAACGTGCCATGTAGAGGTTCCTTTTTCTTTTCATTTTGTGTGTGTGTGTGTAGAGAGAGAGATAGAACATGCTATGTAGAGGTTCCTTTTTCTTTTCATTTTGTGTACACAGGTTTGGGTAATGGAGAGAAACACAATCATAGTGGCTTTACAATTGAGAGAAGAGCGCCTCCAACCTTAATTGGATCAAAATGTTTAGTTCCTGTAGTGGTTTGGTCTGCATTAAGGCCCAGAAAGGAGCTTTCTTTATATTCAATCCTTGCACTGCAGTGTCCTTGCAAGTTCCCGATTGCCCCATGCCAATTCATGTTTTCCCTCAACCAATTGGATCAAAAGATAGAGGCATAAAGCTTCTTTTTCATGAAGACTAACTGAACTTTCCTAATTTGAGCAACCGCCTAATCTACTCTTTAAGAATATTAGCAATGGAAAAGAACTTGCGATGAATAACCATGGTTGAGCAACTAATGCATAGTTTAAGGGAAGAAGGACCTGCCATGAAAATTTTAATCTGCTTTTCCCACTCATGAGTAAATAAATGCTTAATATGTGTAACGAAAATAAGAAAAAAAGAGTCACTACCCATTTATATGCTTTATGATCTTGAGATCGAGATAGCCCTGCAATCATAGAGCGTGTGCAAGAAGCTAGTATACAAAATGCCCACTGGTCATTACAAAGTTATTAACAATCAAAATTTGCCAAATTAATCAGTTTTTTTCTCTCTTTGTATCTTGATTCAATGCATTTGCTGCATCATTTTAATATGAAAGTGAGGTAGAATATTACATCACCAATTGAATTATGTGAAGGGTTTCAACTATGTGCATATTATGGTTTTTGTTTCATTTTGTGTTTGGCTTACTAATTGTAGAATTAACCTATTAAATTCTCACATGTAGAGCGGCTTACTTATTCAGTATTGCCTCGTGATTGTGGCATTCGAGAAAGTGGTTGGGCAGGGCTTTCCTTCAGTCCAGCACAGTGGTCTACGGTACTGAGTGATTACTTTTACTTTTGACACTTAATCTGAATTTTTGCGTTGTGTTTCAAAACGCCGTTTCATTTGTGAGCAGTCAGCCAAAAATACCAAAGCTGAACCATGTTATGAATAGTATTAAGTTGTCTGGATTCATTATTGACAATTAGTTTAGTTATCTTCAACTCTGCTTCTGTTAATTCTATATTCTTGTGTTTTATTTGTTTCACATTTATAATCAACAGATAATAGATAATTGAGATTTAAGAGTAATTTTTAAACGATGCCTTGTTTTCTAGTATGTACTGGTTTCTCATCTGTCAGTAAAAAAAACCTTTCATTTTCTTAAACTTTTCCATTGGGACTTTTTTTGTATCTCTTTTATCTAATTTCTTTTTGTCAGACTTCCAGTATCTTTAATATCTTAGAATTACATATTGAAATCATTACAGTATTGAAGTAAAATTAAATAAACACATTTAGCCTTGTAGGCCAAAGTGTTATTCAGAGAAGCTGAGTTTATAAGATACAATTAAGTTCACACGACTAAAATGTTTACATGATCAATAAAAGGTGCAAGGAAAATTTATAAGTCACATGGAGACGTCTTTCCTGTTAATAAGAATGAAAAATAGGACAGATGTGCTTGCTGTATCCTTTCCTTTGTAAACATTTAACCCAAATAGTTGGGAGACTATGATTTGTTCTCTGATTAGTTTTTCCTACTTATATTTCTCTATATATATACCTCATCTCTTTTCCAGGCAGCCGTTGTGCGTAGCTTCTGCAAAACCATTGATGTTTATGACCAGGATATTCATGTCAGGACATTGTGTACGTAAGTGTTACATGTGGTTCCTGAATAGTTATTTATTATTTCTAGTTGAAATCCATCACTGTCTATATTTGAAAGAATTAAATTCCATATAATTGCGACACTTGTGTTTAGAACAAATCGATTCAACTGGGACATTCAAAACACCATGTTCTGGCGTGTGTGCGTTTGTTTTTTCATTTGTGCTTTTCATCAATCTTTAATTCTCAGTATCCGTTGAGATGGTTATACTAAATGCTGAAATTGCTTTCATTGATATCTCTAATTTCCATTCCTGTGGAATGTTTTGAAATGTAAAATGTTGTCACCTCTGGTTGTTTCTGGAACCACCACGTTCCTTCAATTTACTACTGCATATTATTCCAGGATGAACAAAAGAAAATAGAGAATCAAAGGACAAGCCCCTCTTTTAGTCAATATTTATTTTCTATTATAGTTTGTTTAAATGCTTTGTGATGAAAAGAGCTATCAATTGTATATGACTAGTTCATGAGATATGTGTTCAGAGTGCGTATGTGATTTTCTTTGTGCACTTTGCCTATGATTTTCATTTCACCGTAATGGCTGACTGATCACCAATATATTCAACCTAGGTTATGCAGCTACACAGAAAACTTATATCCATTACCGAAGATCCTTATAGAGCTTTCAGTCAACTTTGTTGCATTAATTTTATGTAAAAAAATATATTTCCAGACCTTTATGTTAACATAGCCATTTTACAGACTTTGGTACCCGTCATCATTGAACTTCATAACAAGTTCGCATTATGGAAATGAGGGTTCTATATTAGCAATCACAGAAGGTTCCCAGGTAAAACTTTTGTGTTTTTTATACCTTTTAGGTTTTCAAATGGTTTCATGGACTTTATTATTCAGTATGCTTGAATTGCTTAGCTGCATCTATTGGGATAACTGTAGCTGACTATATGGGACTTGAGAATGAAAGAAAATGGTGGCTGTCTACAACGAATATGTGGTTCCCTTGGTGATGCCTTTTATGCTGTGTGCTGTTCTTCAACTGGGAATGTTGCAGTCGGCGGAGCTGATCGTACAGTGACAATCTACGATCCTCGCAGGTGGGTACCATTTGGTTCAATAATATCCAGGTTATTCTAGTTATCTTTGGTTGTCCATGATTCTTGTTGATTTACGATTTATGCTTTCCTTAGGCTCCAGTAGGTATTCAGAAGCTAAGGAAAATAATTGAAACTTTAGTTTTTCGTTTTGACTCTTCTTTTACACTCTGCAAAACTGAGAACTCAGAGTCAGAACTGAAACCGGATATATGGTATGTGTTAATTTCATGTAGATGGTCATCATTATCAAGATGGGTGCACTGCTCCAAATATGAGGTCAGTTATGTGTTTTAACATATGATGCATTGTCTTTGTGTATGAGCCCACAGTGCATTTATTTATTTTTAACTTTTTCCCTCAACTTTTGCGACCTATTGTATGGATTGTGCAACAATAGAAATCTGTGCTTCGTTCTTTCTTTTAGTCTTAATTTGCTAATCGTTGGTCCTTTATTTTAATAGTGGACTCAGTTTTAAATATAAAGAACTTCCACTTTGTTCAAAAGCGACCAAATTTCTGTTGTTTTATTATTTGGATTATATGTAAATGCTGGAGATGGCAATTTTTTTTTGCAGATAACTGGGCTTGCTTTCTCTTCAGTTGACTCCAACTACATCTACGTACAAGGTGTTGACTATGAGGTTATTGCAATTTCTTTTTAATGTTCCTTTGTTTACATGGTAACTTCATTTTCAGGTGAATGATTTTTGCTAAGCTTTGGTAATTTAATGATCACCCTAAACCGTCTGACGAGACTGACATGAAAGTTTAATTTATTTTTTTAAGAATTGGTTGGAGGCATTTATGTTGTTTTGAAAGGCAAACTTAGTTTTATACGTACTGAAATACTAATATCCCGAAAGCAAAGACAACTAAGATCGAAGTCCTCATTGTTGCTTTCTAAGATGACCCATAAAACACTCAAGAGGGTTCAGAATTTGAGAAGCTTTATTTTCATCTGTCCCAATTGCTTATAAATTTTTAAAAGAAGCGTGACATAAGTTACTTTGGCCCTCTTCTGCATCATTTGGAAATCTTTCTAATAGCTGACTTGTTACTCTGAATTCTCATTGCGACTTTGTTTGCAGGTCTTATGTGGACAGTGGAAAGATAGCAGAAAGTTATCTTCATTTAGAGGAGACTCAAACTGGCTTGGTTTTAGCAAGGTATTACTTTCTAATGATTTGCACGCCTTGAATACATTCTTTCCTCACACTTAGAATTTTAATTGTGTTCCTTGAATCAAAACCGGAAATTTGTTCTATTGAAAACTCCTTACGAATGTAAAGGTTCGGAGGTTTCTGGGATTTCTGGAAATTTGTTCTATTGAAAGCTAATTACGAATGTCAAGTTAATCTACGATTATCTTTCTTCTACAATAGGAAGCCAAGGATGATTTTATCCAACTGACCTAGGAGTGATAGGATCCGATCAATTAAACAAAAAAACAGCTTTGCCTATAATTTCCAATAAAATTCTCAAACTTTGATGTGCTGTTGCAGTGCCAAAATAGGGATCTTCTAGGTGGATGGTGTGACTCTGGTAGTATCTTTGTAGGCCGATGTTGTAGCTAAAGAGAACGAAACAAACTCGCCGACATGTTCTTCCAATGGATCTCCTGGTGCTCGTTCAACTTGATTCTCATCTGCGTAAGAGGACTTTCACTTCCGTGCTGTATCGCTCTGCAAAAGAGTCGTAGGCAGTCATTTTGAGTAGCTACCAATGCCGTCCCCCAGTGAATTCTAATGTATTAGTTCTGCAATTTAGAATTGTGTACATGAAATGTAGGGTTACCGTGATATGAACTGTTTCTAACTTTCTGATTTGGAATTAATGTGATTATAGATTCTTAACTTATCTTCCTATTTTTGTGTTTTCGGTTTCCAATAGGCGTCCACATTTGTGTGAGTAACAATCAGTTGTTGATGGCTATGGATTCTGCAATAGCATTTAGGTTCCTGAACCCTTCTGCAATAGAGTCCACACATATCTACAGTTAGTGACGGAGCCACATAGAGACCAGTGACGGCCCAGGCCTATTCTGAAATTTCAACCTTTTGTACGTACTCTCTGTAAGCTTTTACAAAAATGAGCCTGTGGCTCATTAGCCTATACAGCCTAGGGCAAGATGTAATTTTAAGTCATGATTTTAAATTTTAAAGCTGCACCATTGTTTGATTAAAACTTTCCATGCCAATACAAAAACAACACCTTTAATTTTCTTCCATTAATTATATTTTAAAGACTAATTTCTTTATATGGCTTAAATGCTCCTTCTAATCTGATTTTTTGACTTCGGCACTGACTACAGTTGATAGCGACTCATGTGCATGGACAATTATCAAAGTTCACCCCAGATACAACTTGGATCTAGTTAAGTATTCGGATGTATTTATTGGTGGTTGAGGGTTTAAGAATGCGTCAAAAGTCATGGGTCAAGATGCCTGGCTTGGTTGACCGATAGGGGTATATTGTCTATGGCTGCTGTCTGGTTTTTGGGGCGAGGTGTGTGTGTTAGGGCATGTCTGGTTTTGGACCAAGTTAATAGCAGACCTTAAACCCCACCCTAACCGTCATTTCTCATGTTCGACAGCAGGTTTTATGGAACCGATATACTACAATGGTAATATTTTGTGTCAGTGATATAATGATATATACAAAGAAAATAACACATGTTCTTGTATTATCGATACAAAATATTATCGTGATGAACCGATATACTACAATGGTAATATTTTGTGTCAATGATATAATGATATATACAAAGAAAATAACACATGTTCTTGTATTATCGATACAAAATATTATCGTGATGATGTACTTGTGTCGCACAAGTCATTTTCCGTCTCAGTAAAACAGTTAACTATTACTAGTTCCAAATTATTATGCTATGTTATTATTGACTTTGGGTTCTTGCTTTATTTTGTTTTCGTCTATAAAATCTGCCTCCTACTTCATTTAATTCACGAGGATTCGCACAATGATGGTTGCCATAAATCAATTTGTTGAAAATAATTTATTAAGCTGTTATCGGTCTAATAGTATTTTTCTTCTTTGTGTCTGAAAAAGATTTTTAGTTTGAATATTTCATTCCTATTTATTTATTTAAATTGTTAAAATATTTATTCTTCATTGCTTCTGTAAAGATCACTTTTGCTCTAAAGAGATTTTAACAAAGTACTTATATTAGAAACATATAGAAATTTCTGTTAAAAATCTAACTGCTTGAAAAAGGAAGCGTCCGCCAAGTGTTTTGCCAAATATATATTAAAAAAATACTTTTAGTCATTTCAGAAGCAATTTTTATCAAACTTTCTATCATTCGATCTAAGTGAATGGTACGTGAATAACATCATGAAGAATATAATTAAGTAAATGGCATCATCAAAAATTTAAAATAAAAATCATTTTGAAAGAATAATAACGCCAGAAGACTGATTCAATCACATATATTATTGAATGGAATGGAGCATATCATAATTTTGACCATCCTCCATCAAAGCGACAATGCTACACACGTCCCACTCCATCCATCCGTGCATCAACTCAAGGAGAGATTTTATAGTGTATCGGAAACACAGTTCCGTACACTAAATGTCACAAAAAAATTGACTAAAGGTTTTTTTTTTTTTTTTTTCAGTACTCATCCTTTGTTTTATAACACTTATTATACCTAGTCGTGCATCCGGTACATTGAAAAATTTCTCCAACTCAAGAAGAAGAAGAAGCACAAATCATTTAATAAATTTCAAAAGACCAATTCCAAAATATAATCAAAGCTTATTATCCTCTTGAAGCTCTTGATTCTTCTTCATCTTCAACCAGGAAACTACTTTTTCTTGTGGTCCAAGAAAGAACCCATATCAAATGGAAAAGAAAGTCGCAATTTGTTTCTTTTTGTTATATTTTTCCTTTTTTATTATTATTATGTGCTTAATTGTTTCAAATGATAAAAATTAATTATAATATTTGGTAGAGTGAAAGATGGATTTCTTTCTTTGTTTAGGAAACGAGGAAAAGAGAGTTTTTTTTTTTTTTTTTTTCACGCCCTAGACGTTTGGAGGGATTTTTATCATGAGTCATGAAATTCTAAAATTTTTCCATTTTACATTAGAAAGCATTTAAATTATACTAATTTATGTCTCCGCTCAAATAGAATATTTAAATTTCATTAAACTAAAAACATGATGAGCGTACAACTTGTAATTTGGTTGATACGTAAGCCACATTTGCACCACATTGACAAAAATAATTATCAATTTAATAAAAGATTAGATGTTCAAACAAACAAAGGGAGATGATTCAAAAGTGTCAGATTTAATGTGAGACAATTAAAACCTAAAAATTATTATTTTAAGTCACTTAGAACTACGGTCTAATAGTATTTCTCTTCATTTGTAAGTAAGAGGTCTTATGTTTAATTCTCGTTAAAAGTGAATTTGAACTACATTATTACTAGTTCATTGCGAGGCTAAGCCCACCCCCTCCTCTTTAATATAGATAACATAATATTGTTTGTTAAAAAAAATTACTATTTTAAAAGAGTAAAACGTAGTTAGCCTAAAAAGAAAATAAATAAATAAAATATTGGTGTCTTGGTTTATTAGACCATGTGCAATGGTGTGGGCTAAAATTTTAATTTGTAATCTAAAAAATTTAGAAAATTTAGGTTCTAATCCAGAGACAGCTTTTCTCTTCTAATAGTTTTGGCTTAAATTTTAGGACAAGATTAATAAAGAATGATTTTAGCCTAAATTTTTTAAATAATTTAAAAAAAAATCAACTTATGTAAATTATCTAATTTATTTTTATGAACATTTTAACATAAAAATATCAAACTTTAATAAATAATAAAAAAAATCACTAAACATATCCAGGAATCATGAAGGTCTAGGAACAACAATTACGTTTTACAAATATAAAGATTTAAAAATTTGAAACTTTAAATAGTCCTACATAAATGCTTCAATTTCACAACAATTACCAATACAAATGATAACTAAAACACTAATTAAAGATTGAAAACGATAATTATAATACTAAATAAAAATTACAACTACTAATACTAATAATATTCCTCATGACTTGGTTCTTGACTCGGTGATGGATTTTATGGTGAACTTGAGTAATAGACATTAGATGGATCATCATCCTCAAAGATATGTATTCAAAATTTAGCTCGACGACTGGAAAAAACTCGAGGGTTTAAAACTCAAAAATTTGAGCGAGGACCACCGCTATTCTTGGTTCATTTTCTGAAGGGAATTTATCCCAAAAATATGTTTCCACATTTACTCAAAATTTAGTCCAATAATTAAAGAGGCTTGGGGGTGAGTTTTACCCGTATCATTGCACACAGTATTAGGGCAGAGAGTGAGACATATCCCAGATTTGTTGCGAGGGAAGGGAGGTTGAGAAATTTTTTACTGTAATCGGAACATAAGTAGTGTATCACATGTTTTTATATAAATGATGAGAAATTTTAATATTTAAGTTATTAATTTTTTTAAATGCATATTCTACTATTTGTATAACAACACGTGTTGTATTACTGTGTATTTTGACCACACTGTAAAATTTCTCAGAGAAGTGCGAAAACATTGGAAAAGAAAAGAGGTGTGAAAACAATGGAAAGGGCTCCTGTATCCTTTCCTTGGGGATCTTATGATTCAGTGATCGTGACTGTTCATTATTCATCGTGCAATTAAAAATCATTAAATACTATTTATATTTAATTTTAAATTTTAAATTTTGACATAATTTATGACCGCACGATATATAACGAACGGTCACGATCATTGCCTAATCCTTTTTCGAATGGACTTGGATTGTCTGCCCTCTCATCTCATACATTTCTCATCCCCTCCTATATTATGTGGTCACGATTAAGCCACATGAACATTTTATATTTCATTACTTTTTGTTTTATTATTTTTATAAAAAAAAATTAATATAAAATATTTACGTGACGTGATTACAAAAATAAAAAATAATGGGAAGAATATGAAATAGGAGGGACAGACAATCAAGTCCTTTCCGAAAACCATGACAATAAAAGTAAAAAGTGTGAAAAGACACAAGACACGTAGCTTTCGCACTAGCCCCCACGTAGTGGGCCATGCATGTATATATTCTGTCCATCATATGTCAGAAAGATATAGTGGGAGGACAACTTGGGCATTAGCAATTGAATAAGACGGACCCATGACTTGTGGCTGCGTTAGATCATAGGTCCACCACCCCACATACCTCCACGTATATAAGAATTTATATATGTGGAAATTCTTTTACCTTGCTGTTTGGTCTCGTTAAGCTTTTCCGAACAAGACAGATTTATTAGTCCGTGTTTGTTGCGAGGAGAGACCTTTCTATATATAAATATTTGGGTTCAAAATAATCCCATTTTATGTTGTAAAATTATGTTTTTTTAATACAATTGATACTTACCATTTGAGTACAAACAATATTACGATTTTAAATTATACTAACAAGGAGGGTTTGAATCGGTTACACAATAAATATAAGAGGAATACTCTAAACACCAAAACAATTCACTTGCAAAAACTCGATTCTTATGCTAGCTAATGTATAAGAATTAGCGACATGTTTACTTACCAGCAATACAAATATAAAGTATGTGTATCATTCTAAGTCATCCTTTATTTATTGACATACAAGGAATGAAAAAAAATAAGAGTCTTAAGTTAAAACATATTTATTTCATTCTCAGTTTCAACAAGATAATATTTTTATCTCACCTAAAATCCTTTAAGATAGCTAGTCCAAAACTGAAAATATATACTCATTAGTCTTAATTTAAGCAAAAACCTCTCCGTCATCTTATAATTTTAGTGTAATATTTTATAAAGATGACACGAAAATTATACCGAAAGCGTGAGATCATAAAAATTTCACGCAAAGTCCTACTTTTTAAGTGAGTCTTTTTATCATTTATCTGTTCCAGTTTGGAAGCTGTGACAAGTGGGCACTTAACAATTTAATATTAGTTAATTTGGAATACGCATGGCTGGCTTTTTCTCAGGACGAGTATAAACACTATCCACGATGTCTGTAATTGCATCATGTGAAGAGCAAAAGTGAATTATTCCAAGAACCAGGTGGGACGATTTAACTTTTCTTTCTTTTCAAAGAATTTTGAGATTCGAAATTAAAGGAAAAGGATCCTTGCGGGATTTTTTTTTTTTTTTTGGATTCTTAGGTTCTCGT